AGCATCCCTGCATCTTACAGCTGCACCTCCAGAAATGTAATACAGTAAAAGCTCTGTTATCCGGCATCCCCGGGGAATGGGGGATGCCGGTTTATCAAATGTGCACCCACTGATGCACTCCCCAGAGTCAGTGTGCCGGGGACAGGGAGGGGGGCGCAACGCAGGCTGCTTTGCCCTGGGCTGTGGGCCGAAGAAGTGGCAAAGAAAAACTCAGCTCATGGCAGCAAAACGGGAAGTCCCCCAGAAGTAGTACTTCCAGTTTCGAAGTTGCTGCATCCCTTGGATGCCGGTTAATAGAGTTTTCTGGCTAATAAAGTACCAGTTAACACAGCTTTTGCTGTATATCTAATCCAATACACCAAATGCCTTGATGGAAAATACGTAGGAGAGACCAAACAACAACTGCACACCAGAATGAAAGCACACCGGAAATCTACCAAAGACAAGAATACCCAACTACCTGTGGGGGCACATTTCTCACAAGAAAACCACTCTCTCTCCAATCTCTCCACTCTAATCCTCAAAGGAAACTAACAAAACACTTCTCAGAGACGAGCCTATGAACTCCATTTCATCAACCTCCTGGGTACAAAAAATCATGGACTAAATATAGACATTGGATTTATTACGCATTATAACCTGCCTGACATCTGACTCCCCAGGTACCTCTCCACTATTTAACTGCTACATTCATCCCCCTTCTCCCCCCCCCGCCAGCCTGTCTCTCACCCACTGACTCCTCAATCTACATCTTCACTGACTGCCTGTCTTGCATGCATACCAGCCCAGCCTCTGGCTTCTTTACTATTCATTCCATCCAGGAAGAGCACACACCAACTGCAGAGACTTCCTCAGCCTGACAAAGAGCTTTTAAACCCAAAAGCTTGCTAACATTTTTTTCCCAGCTATTTAAGTTAGTCTAATAAAAGATACCATATTCATCCTAAGTTTCTAGACTCTCTCACTGCAAAAATTGGATGCATTCCAGTTATTTACGTAGCATACTGGATTTAGGATTTGACCCTCTGACAGAAATATGGCACTGTATTGCTGGTGTTTCTTTTGGTTAATTCAACTCTAACTATACAGCAAGAGTATCTTCAGTGTTTGTATTTGTTTCTAACTTTACATTATTTAGTAAATGATAAAAATTAAAAGTAAAATATAGCTATCTTTAAACATAATTTAGCTTGTGAGCTTTCAGAGCCAGGACTGTGAACTTTTCCTTTTTTGACTGCACTGCATCTAGCATTATTGAGTTCTGATTGGGACATCTTAGTATAACTATAGTAAAAATAAATAATATCATGTCCTTCAACATTATTGCTGTTGGTCTCAAGCAATAATTACCACCGGGCTGGAATCTTCTCTTTGTAAACAGCCAAGTTCCTCCATTACATTTTCTGAAGCAAGTAACTTGCAGCTGGTTTCTCCTGTATCTGAATTCTGTAAAGCTGCTTCTTCTTGGTTATTTGGTGTAATACTAATTACTGCCTGTCTTAATTCAGCCTACAAAAATAAAGAGTTTTAAATCTCAAAAGGAATACTTTAAATAATACTTTAAATTGCCGTGCAAGTAGAATAGGAGATGATAAAGTACAGCTGCCAAAATAATGCATTTTAAAGGAAAGATTCATTCAAAACTAATTTTGAGAATAGCTAGCTTAGCTCTTATTGCTCAGGATGAATGATTTTCAGTTAATTTTTAAGTGAATATGTTTCTGAAGAATAACAATGGTTGCTGCACAAAGATAAACATTAAAGTTAAAGGCATTCCTCCTCCTCAGGTTGCCAAATATCATCCCCATTTCTACATTGCCTTGGGAATATTATGAGACAACATTAGCAAGTTAGACAAGACATATATTAGTCACAAAATATACAGCTTGATCTCTATGGATCAAAGGGATTAACCTAAATTAGAACTCGGTACTGACTTTAGGCCTAAGGCCTTTCAATATAAACAGTTTTCCCAAAGATGATTATGTTTGCCACAGCATTAAGCAACTCATTCATGGTGATATTCTTCTTCCAAAGAGGATTACCTCACCTATACTCACAAGCAAAACTATCCACCATAACAAATTGGTCTGGTTCATCAGTCTATGAAGGGGCTACAGTATCCACTGAATACACTGATAAATCCTGTCACTTTATGTTGCAGACATTAAAACACTCAAGAGTGACGACAAGCAGAAAATTCTCAAACGTGGATTTTCTTTTTCTTTGGCTCGAAAGGTAAGAAAATACACTTTAAAATATCCTATGATAACATTAAGCTTGCAAGGGAAAGCACTCCACAAGGAGATTCTGTTTTTAAAGTTGTACCCCCATCCTTAACTCTCATCTTCTGTTCAGATGTAACATGATACAAGCTCAGAGTCTAAGCATCTTACAAGTCCTGTGCTGACTGGCCCCCAATCAGTCATCTAAGGATTACCAATGTGTAGGGATAACTGACAGAGTTAGCCAGAGTATCCTGTATGAACAGATGCAGCTACAACAGGGGCAGTTGCACTATGGGCAAAATGAAACTCACCTGGGGCCTCTTCTCCTTTCATCACCCCCATGGACCAAGCACCAAGAAGGAGGCTCCCATACAAACCCAGTAAGCATTAGTACTGTAGTGGCAGTTTCCCTTTCAACACAATATGCCATTCGAGGAAGACTGTTGAGATGAGTCAGCCAGACTCCGGCAACCAGGAAAAGCAACAGCCAAAGCAAGAGCCCTGGATGTCCAAAGCAACGATAGTTTTGACTGGACTACCTGTTCCAATTCTCCCTGTCCCTCACAGCCCCACCACCACTTTCCTTCTCTGTCTATACCTCTGACCCTCTGCTCCTTGCCCTGTCTCCTAACCCTCTTCTTTTTCTTTACCTATCCCCTATTGACTAAACCTATCTACCCTCTCCCTCCCCCAAAATCATGGTACTAACATGATAGTTCCTATCATTACATTGTTTAATGTGTCTGTGTTATATTCCTTCCCCATCCTATATGTTTGGTCTATTCAGCTTGTAAACTTTTGGGGGAAGGGACATTTAACTACTCAGTGCTTAGCCCAACAAAGACCTATTTTGTTTGGCACTTAGCAACTCCTTTAATAAAGATGATAAATATATAGGACTAGCCCCATTCCCTTCATGAGCTGCTAGGTGCTTAGTACTTTTTAAAATTAGACTTTTTACTTAGGTAGTCAAGAAAGCCCACGTAAGTCAACTAGAACCTTTCCAGAGATTGCAGTGGATTTTGGATGAGCCTTGAAATAAAATTTTAGGAGCAAGGAGTTTGAAGAGGACAAAGTCTTTAATCCTGTTCCCATTCCACCCCATACAAACCGTTGCCACTATGGTGTTTTTTCTTTATCTTGTTTCTGTCTGCAATAATTTAAATGCTGGTTAATCCCAAACCAGGGACAGATTGTTACCTGGTTTTTTATTAATACGTCAGTTAAGTCTGTTTTTAAAAGCTGATTTCCTGCCCCCTGCCATCCATTCTTGGTAGCATGTTTAGAAATCTGACAGATCCCATCAGCATTCTGGTTCCATAGCAAGGCTCCATTAGGAGCGTAACCTTAAGGCCAAATTCATGTTTAATATTCTCTTTACGTCCTCACCACCCTTTTATGTCTACAGAGTATAAGATTGTAACTGAAAGAAATTTTTTATCCTTTTATGGCAAACATATCTCCCATCTTCAACTTCCAACATTTTCCCTTTAAATCTTCCAGAAAAGTACCAGTGAAAAACCTATGTTCATACTTACAAACTCATCTGACGTCTGAGGTCCACTGGAAGGTTCTGTTATACAAAATAAAGGTTTTTATTTTAAACAAAAGAATAAGAACAATGCTATAAGAATAACAACAACGTTATAAGTTACAGGGTCTTTTATATTATCGGTTAGAAGAAAAACATGTGAATGTTATTACAGTATTATATGGAACACTGACAAAAAACTGATACAAGAACTTTGAAAGTTTAATCTGAAATGCTGAATATTTTTCTTTAAAAAGACTGCCTTTCATGAATGTTGGGAGAACAGAGTGTAATACTGAACCTACTTGGCCCTTTTCTAAAGGCTGTTATCCAACCAGGAAAATACATATAATTTTCAGTGATATTATGTTAGCAGGGGCTGATGAATGTGCAGCTTGTCACTGAAAGGATTCTACATTCCCATCAGATAACAACTTAAGAGCCATTTCACACTCTCACAAGGGAGCATCAAGAGGTAAACCCTTCCAGAACATGCATGGGGACTGGATCCATTACACCACAGCTTAGGAAGGTGCTGTATGATCCTCACTGGGGACATTTACATGTGCGCTTTACTGTGGAGTTGTCTAATTAGCTCCACAGTACAGCATCAGCATCTACATGTGCAGCGCTATTAGGTTACAGTAAACAAATTAACTCCACCGTAGGATAGTACTATCCTACAGCTGAGTTTAGTGCATCAAATTGTAAGTGTAGACAGTGACTGTGGCTGGCTGGGGCATGAGGGTGCTACAGTGCAGGGGGCTGCGTGCCGCCTAGCCCTGCATGGGAGCACCCTTGTGCCTCAGCCAGGCCCTCCGCTGTACATTGATCAAGGGTGGAGCAGCTATGGTTTGGCAGGCTGATCTCCCAGGCCACTGCCAGCAGGGCTGTGCTACCCCAGCTCAAGAGGCTGCAGCCCCAGCAAACGTGTACATGCTGTGCCTGGGACCAATAAACTCTGGCACAAACTGTGCCAGTGTTTATTCAAGTGCATTAATAGCATGTGTAGATGCTCCCACTGTGTCTGCCCAGGTCTGTGTATCCAACCACACATCGTTTCCCCCTCTTTGCTGTCTTTGGAATGGTTTAGCAAGGAAGTGTGGTTATTAAGCAAGGAACCCTATGCAGAGCACTACTGTAAGTGGTGCCTTTGTAAGGCTGTAAGAAGGGAAGGCCTCTTTTGTTCACATCCTTCCCCTCTTTCTCTATACACATACATACGGACTGTGAACAAATGGGTTATTACTGGATTTATGGAGCATAAAAATCTCCCCTCATGTTCTCCTTGATCCTGATTAGTATCTTTTCAAAGGACCTGAGAGCTATCCTCAAATTGAACTCTCCATCTAACATTTCAAGATAACTAGAAAGCTAGTATAATTCTTCTGCCAAATAATGTACCAAACCTCTTATGCTCCTTAATGGATATCTCAGAGAAAAAAAGAAATATGTGGGGACAGAAAAAAGTGATACCTACTAGAAATTAAAAAAAAAAACCTTAAAAGTTTTTCCACATTGTAAAGGAAAAAAGTACATCTTCTTTAACACATACACACATATTCTCCTTTATAATATGGAAAAATGCGTGTGTGTGTGTGTGTGTGTGTGTGTGCGCGCGCGCGCGTATACATCCTATATATCTTTTATAATTGCCATATATAATAAGGCAAAACAAAAACTCACAAAGATAATACAGAATCAGAAATCAGAGCAGTACGAGAACGTTTCAGAGGATTGGTGATGGCATGCCACACCTTTTACCTTTCAGCTCTGGGCCTGATGAGTAACAACTAAAAAACATAACCTAATCAACTAAACAGCTATTAAATGGTAAAGTGAGTTAGTCACTGCAGCATTGTTTCCAATGTACTACTTTCCTGTTCTCACACGCTATAGTCCTGGGTATGACTGTAAACTGCATCCAACTGAAGCAGTGGTTCCCAGTGTTTTTTACATTGTGGACTGGCAAACTCACTCAAAGAATGTTGGCAGATTGTTTCTATACCCAATCTAATTTACATATTTAAATGCAAGTGTTACGTTGGGGGGGGGGGGGGCATTGCGAGGAGTTGCCCTGCAAGTAAAGATGCAGCTCCAGTTGAGTTGGGGCACCGCAGATGCTGGCACCGGGGGACCCTACAGGGGAGGAGACTGCACAGGCAGTGGCCTGGGAGGACCCAGCTGGGGCTGCCTGGGAAGAAGGGGCTCCACTGCTTTCCCTAGAAGCAAGCAGCAGAGCCATCTACCCACCCTCTGCCCTGGGCATTTCCCAGCCCACATCCCCCCACTCCCAGCTGTGGGTGGGCCTGGGACGGTCCTGCTTGGCCTGGCGTGGGCCCTAGTACCTGCTGCACAGGTAGTGCCTCGCTGGGCATGGCCATGGCAGCAGGAGCAGGATGGGGCACATGGAGCCGGCTGCTTCCCTCCCAGGGCTGCCCTGGTGCCCAGGTTTAACCCTGTATTTGACTGCCGGAGACAGAAGCCACCTCACCTGGGTGGACAGCTGGGGGTCTGAGCTAGGGCAGGCAGGTGGGAGACGACAGCTGAGGGTGGGCAGGGAGCAGCAGACCAATTTCAAAAGCTTGTGCCACGACCTGGCAGCCAATCCTTTGTGGCCCAGTACTGGGCCACAGTCCAGTGGCTGGGAACCTCTGGACTGGAGGGCCTGGTCGCAAAGTGTTGGGGCTACTCGTGGCAGAGTAGCTCCTATAAAATACCACTATGTTGCAACCTCCAGAATAAGGTGAATATAGCATGCCTCAAAACCCTAGCCCCCACTGCCTTGTGGGTACTCCTTGGCTGGAGAAAGGCTAAGGGGCATCACCCTGACAGAAACATGCCCCCACTGACAGATGTGTAACTCATGGCACTTTGCAAGAAGTGCCATGAGTTACAGAGATCTTTTGGACCCAACAGACATTCCCTGTCGGGTCTGGGAGACTGCAGGATCAAGCTCCAGTTTGGAGTGGCTGCATGTCTATAGTCACTCTCCCCTAGCCCGCCCCTGTTCCTTGCAGCTCTGATGCTATCTTCAGAATGGGAGGGGGTAAAGGGAGCAGAGGGAGCTCAGTCTGGGGTTTGCCCAGCCTTCGCTGGAGGGTGGGGTGGGTGGACTGCAGCTGCCCCACCTTGGGGAGGCTCCAATTCACCCATCCCACCCTCCAGTAAAGGCTGGGTAAACCCCAGACAGAACTCCCTCCCCTCCCTTCTCCCCCTCCCATTCTGAAGAGAGCTCCAGAGGGGAGGAGGGGTCTGGGCTACAGCATCCCAGCCCTGCTCCCAACGTGATCTGACACAAGTTAATGAAGGCACTCCGCTTTGGAACATCTTCATCTCAGCCCTCATGTAATGAGAGTTCAGACTGTGGCATGATCAGGCACTTTTAAAGCACTCTGCAGCCATGTCAGCAGCCTGAGGCATTAGGCAGTCAGCAGCAATTCTTATCTGTTGCTCTCCAGCAGAATCTGCAACCATTGAGGTACTGAACATCTGGACTTGGTCTGGTCTTTAGATTTTATCTCAATGGTCTAAAGGGGGGATGACAGGTTTTGGACAGCCTCCACTCCTCCACACTCTTGCCTAGACATACGCATCAAAAGTCTTAATGTGATGGTTGTAAACCTCTTGCACATACACCATGATCCAGAGGATCAATGGTTGATTATGATTATTACTGTTCACATTCCAAAACCCCAATTACAATCAATATCTACTGCTGGAAAAAAGTCAGGAAAGGTTAAGCCCTAAAATAAGCCAGATACTGATTGCTTTCTTGCTAGAACAACTCCTTCTCAATTAAGGCTATAGCATATTCACCACACACTTTCAAGAAACTCGCATTGCTCCCCCTTGTTCTAAATATTGTGCAGACAAACAGAAGACTTCTGTCTCCATTGCTATCATATTTATATGACTGCTAAAGAAAATTCAGTTAAAGAAAAATAATAAAGCAGAAATCCGAGCAGTAAGGCACATTTATATAAAATCACTTCCAGAAAGAATCTGCTTCACATAGATAGATTCAGTCAAATATCCCATCAGCAATGGATGGGAGGAATCAGAATGAAAAATTACATTCAGAGTAAATGATGTCTGTGAACACTTACCATCTGAGCAAGTTTGCAGGCCTTGTGACTGTACAGAACTATTAAGCATTTCTTTAAATTGATCGTAACAAATACAGTTATTCTCACCAGCACGTAGTAGTGGTCTGAATATCTAGATAAAAGAAAAATCTTTCATTTCTTTCTTTCTACCATTTCTGGAATTTTTTTGTTTGTCTTTTTACAAAATTAGACATCTTTTATTTAAAAAAAATCATCATTCAATTCAATTCAAAGTTTAAGGTTCAGCTATCCAAATAATTGATTAACAATAACCTTGAAAATGAAGGGGGCATATGGTATTTTTATGTTCTAGACATAGCTGGACAAAACTTTCAGTTTATCTAGTACTGGTAGAGACTAAAAACCTTAGGGGAAAAAGCAGAACACACTACTTTTATTTTCTTGGTCACCAAGATATCTATGAATTTTATACTAAATAAAATTATAATTGCAAACTTAAAACAAATCACTAAAATTTTGAAAAAAACATAGCTTATTTTGCAATTTCACAGTCTGATTAGAAAACTGAATGCTAAACAATTTTGTCCTAACCTGTCTTTGAAATCAGCTTACTTTTCCTAACACAAGCCCCAGTTCAGGAAGGGACTTGAGCACTGTATAACTAAGTAGATGAACAATTCCCTTACTTCAGTAGAACTATTCATAAAGTTAAAATTACACACATACCTAAATATTGTAATGAATGAGGCATAATAAATACAGACTTAATGATAATGGAAAGGGAGATGTATCCTTTTTAGTCATGTGGGAATTATTAGTGGGTGTTTTACCCAATTATTCCATTAGCTATTTGGTAACAGACATGATATTTTAAATTTAGTAACTTGACTCATTTAGGCTTTTATAAGAAAAATATTAATTAATGACATCAACTGATATTTTTCCAAACAAGTGATAAATTCTAGATGACATACAAGTGCTTGATGAGCCCGTAGTAGAAGCGAGTTAAGCTCTGTTGGAACCCCCCACCACCACCATTTTTGCAGTCTCACTGACTGAAGTCCTCATATGGAAGAGTGGAGAATTTTTTCTGCTTCTGGAGAAAGCAATATTTATGTCTTAACCATATCTTTACTGTCCAGGGGCCTAATGCATCCCTTCAATTGACAAGAATGGTTTCTACAAGTATGCTGGTAGCAAAAGGAGGATCAGGAAAAGTATTGGCCCCTTACTGAATGGGGGAGGCAACCTTGTGATAGAGGATGCAGAAAAGGCTGAAGAGCTCAATGCCTTTTTTGCCTTCATCTTCACAGGCAAGGTCAGCTCCCAACCTGCTGCACCTGGAAGCAGTTTGGGGAGGAGGTGAGCAGCCCTCAGTGCTGAAAGAACAGGTTAGGGACTACTTAGAAAAGCTGGACGTGTACAAGTCTATTAGGCCAGATGGGATGCACCCAAGGGTGCTGAGGAAGTTGGCAGAAACGACTGCAGAGCCACTGGCCAACATCTTTGAAAACACATGGTGATCATGAGAGGTCCCAGATGATTGAAAAAAGGGAAAACATAGTGTCCATATTTAAGAAAGAGAAAAAGGAGGATCCAGGGAACTGCAGACCAGTCAGCCTCACCTCACACCCTGAAAAAATCATGGAGCAGATCCTCAAGGAATCAATTTGTAAGCACTTGGAGGAGAAAAGGTAATTAGGAATAGTCAGCATGAATTCACCACGGGCAAGTCATGCCTGACCAATCTGATTGCCTTCTATGACGAGATGACTGGCTTTGTAAATGTGGCAAGACTGGTGGATGTGGTGTACCTTGATTTTAGCAAGGCTTTTGATACGGTCTCCCACAACATTCTCTCCGCCAAGCTAAGGAAGTATGGGCTGGATCTATCAAGCCTGGATGAATGAACTATGTGGTGGTTGGAGCATCAGAAGATAGTAAATAATGGCTGCATGTCTAGTTGGCAGCTGGTACCAAGTGGAGTGCTGGGGCCAGCTTTGTTCGATGTCTTCATCAACAACCTGGAAGATGCCACAGAGTGCACCCTCAGCAAGTTTGCAGATGACATCAAGCTGGGGGGAGTAGTAGATATGCCCGAGGGTAGGGCTAGGATTCAGAGTGACCTAGACAAATTGGAGGATTGGGCCATAAGGAATCTCATGAGGTTCAACACGGATAAATGCAAAGTCCTGCACTTAGGAGGGAACAATCCCATTCACTGGTGCCAGCTGGGGACTAACTGGCTGGGCAGCAGCTCTGCAGAAAAGGACCTGGGGGTTACAGTGGACAATAAGCTGAATATAAGCCAGCAGTGTGCCCTGTTGTCAAGAAGGCTAATGGTATACTGGGCTGCATTGGAAAGTGTGTTGATAATAGGTCAAGGGAAGTGAAGTTTAGATTAGATATTAGGAAGAATTTTCTCGCTAGGAGGATAGTAAAGCACTGGAACAGGTCACCCAGAGAGGTGGCAGAATCTCCATCCCCTCTATTCAGCACTGGTGAGGCCACTTCTGAGGTACTGCATTCAGTTTTGTGCCCCACACTACAGAAAGGATGTGGACAAATTATAGGAGGGCTAGGGGAACATGATTTATGAGGAAAGACAGGGATTATTTGGTCTAGAGAAGAAGCAACTGAGAGGAGACTTAGTAGTAGCCTTCAACTACCTGAAGAGGGGTTTGAAAAAGGATGGAGCCAGACTGTTTTCAGTGGTGGAGGATGACAGAACAAGGAGCAATAGTCTCAAGTTTCAGCAAGGGAAGTTTAGATTAGATATTAGGAAGAATTTTCTCACTAGGAGGATAGTAAAGCACTGGAACAGGTCACCCACAGAGGTGGCAGAATCTCCATCCTTGGAGGTTTTCAAAACCCAGCTAGACAAAGCTTTGGCTGGGATGATCTAGTTGGGGATGGTCCTGCTCTGAGAAGGGGGTTGGACTAGATGACCTCCTGAGGTCCCTTCCAACCCTAGCTTTATATTATTCTATGATGACTTCAATGAGCAATGGATTGAGCCCTTGATTATTGGGGGTGATATCCCCAGGCACAGTACAGATATGTAACCAGCTTTCAGAAGCGGAAGAAATGTTCTGGTTGGATTTATCAACTGAAATCAGAAAGTCACTTAAGACAGGGAAGGTAATTATCATGACATTTTAAGTATCTTAGACTGAACTGGTACTGGGGAAGAGCTGATAGTTTTGCAAACAATGTCTTTTGCATTGGGATAGAATTTTCTCTCCTATGCCCTTCTTCTGCACAGGCTGTAAGCCCCTTTCACTGAAATGTCCCACTGAAGTTAAAGGAGTAACCACCAAGATCCTACTGTAGATTAGGGCCAGATACAGCCACGTTAAAAATAGCAGGAGGGAGACAGAAGATCCTAAATATTATCTAACCTGAAAAAAAAAAAAAAAAATTATAGATTTTGAAGAACAGGTTGGTAAGAGATGCCATGTGGCTGCTGAATTGCAGAAGTAGACAAAAAAAAGGATAAAGTCTAGGAAAAGAATATTTATCTATCTATTTAGCTCCATTAAAAAGGATTAAATGGAAAAATGACTGGTCTTTTAAGGTCAGGTATGTTAAAAACACCCACTGAAGTATAATCAAATTGGTTCTAATTAATGCACAGAAACAGCTTAAGGTTTTCAAGAAGGGAAGAATATTAAGTGGCCCAATCTTCCTTCACCAGAGTAATTAGAAGCTACAATGAATCAACATTTTGTAGAGGCAGGGGTAAAAGAGCGAAGTGTAAACTAATGTGGATTAAATAACTACATGAAAGGAGGATCTTAGCTACCTTGACTAGCTGAAGATAATTTGAAGAAAGCTGTAAAGAACAAGCCTCTTCTGGTGTGCTAAAAACCCCAGAGCTGGTATCCAGGCGTATCAACTTCTAATGCCCTGCTAAAAGGGAAAGAGCACCACAGATACACTGAAACACTTAGAAAAATATGGCAGCTGATATGTTTGATCATTACATCTCATTACTTACTTACTAGCTTGATTCCCTGGAAGAAATCTTAGGGGAACAACCAGAAGCAGAACAGCACACATGTATAACACTGGTATGTTTTCAGGTGCTGCTCTGCAGCAATACAGAGATAAAACAAGCAATACTGGAAATAATTCTAAATATAAAATATCTATAGTAAGAACCAATGGTGGGCTCAGACAAAACACTAAAACCAAGATACTTCTTATACTAAACTAATGCTTTTAGGTAGTGCTTGATCTGGCACAGAAAATGTAGTATTAAAAATAGAAAACAGGCAAAGCTGATCAAACTTTGCAAAGAATAGAAGACACATGCAGGTGGCCGCTTTTCCCTTAAAGAATTAACACAGGTGGAAGGTGAGGGAGACGCAGTTTACTGTTGTAGACTAAGTTCTTAACTTGCTAATGAATCTAATTTAAAAAATGCCAGTAAGTGTTCACCTACTGAAAGCCAACTCCTGAATCAGAAAATCACAACAAATGGATGATCAATATACATAGTTATTATATAAAGGGGCTGTATTTATAGAACAGGAAGTCTCTACCCGGGCATCTTCTCAAGCATATGCTCTGACCTATCAAGGACAAAAAGGGGGAGATAAAAGCACTATAAATCAAATGCAAAGCCATTTACAACCCATTGTTGTACCTAATTAATACTAGACTATATCTAATACAGAATTTATGCAGTAATAACTTTATTGCACCATATGCTCCCTTTACAACTTGGAACTGTGCTTATTCTCACTTATTTAGATCTGCAAAAAACCCCACAGATGAATAAAAATCTCCATTTTGCTCAATCTTACTGGTATCAATCTGACATTTTGATTCACTGTTCCTTCTGGAGAGCAGGCGCTCAGCAACACGACATTTGTATTTTTATGTTGCATAGCCAAGGAAGACAGAAAATGGACATTGTATGGTTGCAACTGCGGATGAGGTGGATATAAATGTTTGATTTCTTCAGAAAGATTTAATTCCTGTAACATATGCTGTTTTCCAAGGGTTTCATTATCATGGTCCTCCTCACTGACAGGCTCCATTTCGACTTCCAGAACTGCATTGTGACTTTCAATGTTGAGAGGATACTTGAAGTGATCCAGCAAAGTTTCCTCCACAGCCACAGTGCATAGGCGAGTGTCTTGCCCAGAGTGAAACCTGTCTTCTGGAGGTGCATTCATTGCTTCATTTCCTACACTGAAGAGTTCAGAGCCAAACAGCCCGTGCTGACTAAACATCTCCATACCCACCCCCTCTTCCAGACTGGAGATGCCACTGAGCAGGCTCTGATTTTCCATAGCCACCAGCAGCCTCTTGGCTTGCTTGTTGGGACTCTTCACCTCTCAGGAGGCCTGTTCCAGATCAGCTTTCTTGGAGACTCGGATCTAGAAAACAAGACAAGCTACCCGAAAGCCACTGTGCTTGCTGTGGGCCGCAAACCAACCCAGAGGCTGACCCGTGAGGGAATTTCAGGTTTGGTGCTGGGTATCACCCCTGGGTCCAACTACCCTACACAAAGCAGGCCCAAGGCATCAGCACAGCCCACTGCTACCCCACCACATGGCTGCGCCTATCCCCAGGCCCTGCACCAACATTCCTTCCCCAGGCTGGGAGCATTACTTCCTAGACACCAGCCTGGAGTGAGAAGGATGGAGACAACCAGGGCGTAGGAGCACAGCCAGGGGCGGTGCTGAGCGAGGACGGGACCAAGGGGGCTATCTAGCCATCCCTCCCCCTTCCGCGTTGGGGGCGGGGCACGCCCGGGAGTAACGGCTCACCTGCGCCCCCCCCGCCCCGCCTCTAGAGCAGGCGCATGCGCAGTAGCAGGCAGGGCACGGGGTTTCTGACCCGAGCGTCCGGCAGCTGCGTCCTGCGCTGGGACAGAACTGGGGGAGGGGCGGGGAGACAGTTAACGTGCGGGGTGGGAGGAGCAGAGCCCACCCCAGCCCTCAGCATTGCGGGGACGCAGTGTGGAGAGTGGGGTCTGGCTGAGCAGCCACGTGCGCGGGAGCTGTGCTGGGAGGGCGGCTGCTAGTTCACAGCACAGCCAGAGCATTACCCCCCCCGCCTCCTGAGACGCTAGCTCCCCAGGGAGGTGGGCACTCGCTTCTTTCCTCTACCCGAGGGAGTTCAGGCCCCTCCTCCTCGTCCCCCAGGAGTGTATGGAAACACCAGGCTGTTCTGGTTGTCTCTTGTCTTTCTTGCTGAAGCAGTTTGCCCAGGCTAGCGGGGGCCGACTTTTTGGGCAGGTGTCAGAGCTGCTAGGAATGCATGGACGGCCCATGAAAAAACAAAAAGACGCTTTTAAAAATGCGGCGTGTAAAATCCATTAAAAAAAGCCATTTGTAAAAAGCCCAGAAACCACATGTACCGCTTGTTTGAAGATCTGTTTTCCCTCGAGATGAAGGTGGGATGCAAGTGATGCTGAGACAGAGACGGGGCAGCACCATCTAGTGCCTGAGCAGGGGCCTATGCCAGGGCTTTGTACCCCAGGGAGGCTCTGTGGTTCCCTTTCCCTCCCGCGGGAGCCATGTACTGCTGCCACTCCCTGTTCTGGCTGTCACTTGTCTGTCAGAGCTGTGCATCAGGCAGGACAGGGAGGAGGGCATCAGGCAGTGGCTGGGGCAAAGGAGAGGCAGTGGTGGCATTGCACCCCTGGACAAGGGTGGCAGGGCTGGCAGGGGTGAAGCTGAGGGGTGGCAGCAAGGTGGGGGCTGCAGGAGGCAGGGGTGCGTTATGGGGGAGGGGAGAGTCAGGGGGCTGTTGGGTGGTGCAGCATGGGGACACAAGGGACAGGCAGGGAGCAGGAGTGTCTGGAAAGGAGGAAGAGCTGGTCCCCATAGCACAGTCTGAACAGTTACTATCCCTCACACATCACAAAGGTTGTAAAACATACAAAACAGCTTGGTTGTTGGTAAACGTTTGCAGCTTGCCAGAAAAAGTGAGAGTTCACAAACTTACTTGACACGACAATCCTGGCAGGCATGCCACAAGTTAGCCCCACCCCCACCAAGTGTCACTCCAATTCCCTTCCAGTGTGATTTGCTGCTCTGCTTTCTGCTCCCTTATACGCTATTGTGCTGCGTATTCCCTGCCAGGTCTGCTTACGCCACACAGAGGCTGTCTGTGCCACTTGTGGCATTTGCTGCAGGTTGGCCACCCCTGCACTAGGCCAAAAGCACCAGCAAGCAAAACCTATGATTACCCTCCAAGGCGAGTGATGAAAAGCTCTACATTCTAGCCCCTGGTTTTCAAAATATTTTTTTCACCTAATGACCGTGTAACAAAAAATAGAAAAAGTCCTGCGAGCAGAGAACAGAACAAAGGCCCCACCACACTTCTCTACTTCAGCCAAAAGCCCTGCTAGGGTACAGACTCAGGACTCCTTCTCTGGTCCAGTAAATCTTTAATTCTTTGCTAAATAGTGGCACAATAGCAAACAAGAAAGGTTGGAGAGCGTTCCTAAACCAGAATAGCTTATAACGCTGGGGTGGGCAAAATATGGCCCATGCAGCCCACCAATTGATTGCATCTGCCCCCTGGCTGCCCCTGTGGTGATCTGCATAGGGCTGTGCGCTCCTGCCTGGGGCAGCCTGCACCCACCCTGTGCCCGCTGATGACACCACCCTGGCCCCAGCCAGTGTGGACCCCACTGCTGCTGCAGCTGTCGATACTCCTTGGCCCCTGCCCCTGCCATGCCACTCTGGACAGCAGGTAGCATGGGCACATGCCGAGCACCACATGCTCAGTCAGGTGGGAGGGAAGCTGCAGCTGGGCAACTCCTGCCCCAGCATGCAGGGCTCCAGCTCTACATCCTGGCCGCCATCCACCCACTCCACCTGCCTGGGTGTGGCCAAGTAGGTGGAAGGCAGCCCTTCCAGGAAGCTGCACACACTGCCCAGGGTCAAGGCAGCGCCACTGGCAGGTGCAGGACAGGCTGCCCCAGGCAGAAACGAGTAGGGCTCAGCCCCATGCAGAGCACTGTGGGCCAGATGAAGGGTGGGGTGGACCGTACCTGCAACTTCACTGCACTGCCTGAGCAAGCTCTGTTGCACATGCCCCCCCCAACCTCTTGGGAACTAATGGGCAAGCAGCTGTCCTCTGCCCCCCGCCACACCCACCCATCCATATCCTCCCCTCCCCACAAGAGTAAGACACTATTTTGAGCTATTACTCAACCACCTCTATATACACTATTCCAAAAAACATAGATCACTGGCAAAAAATACTTTAAAAAATAAAATTAAAAGATGTTACAGTAGATGTTTGATTTCTAGCATATGATTTTTTTATCTATAATTTGTTAAAATGGTATCTTCTGAAAGATTGTGTGCATGTGGTCCTCAACAGCTCCCACAAATTCATTAAGTAGCCCACCAGCTGAAATAATTGTCCACCCCTATTATAACCTAGTTATTAGGGCAGTCTTACAGGGGATTATAGATATGAATCCTTAGGCAGAGGACAGAATTTAACTTTGTTCTCACACATTCTTGGACTCTGGTCAGCGCCCTGTTCAATCCTCTACCACGTTGGAGCCCATTTCAAGTCATTCAGCACTCCTCATGCATTGTGTAGAAAGCTTAACTTCTACAAACCAGTTGCCTAAATTTAACGCACCTGTCTTTTCTTTGTTCTGAGCATTAGAACTTTTGTACATGAATGTGTCACAAACTGGCAAATGATTCAATTTATCTGGAGGGAAGAGTACCATTTGATTTGGTTTCCCTTATCATTTGGTTCAAATGACAAGGTTTTATGTTCTGAAGGTCTCCTCCACTAGAAGTCATAAGAAGCACACCTGCCTTCCATCTTGAACGTTTCTTATAACAACCTCAAAACTTTTATTCCAGGATTCCCCCCAAGGAGCTCATTATTTCTGATCAGCTGGATAAGTTTAGCAAGACCTTGACTCAGTCACCTGGGACTGAGCATGCTAAGTAGGGTACAAAATGCACCTGACCCATGCCAGCCGAAGCAACACAGGGACCTGCAGAACACTACACACCAGCCAACAATTCAATCTTTATTGAGGAATTCCTTTTACATTAAATTCCAGATTACACAATCAGAGTGCTATCTTCCAGAGGTGGAGAATATGTAAGATCTCAAGTACAACATTTAAGTTTGGTGTGTATTACAATAAAGGAAATGCTGGGAATGTCCTGAGCCATATCATGCTACAAAATATATGATATACAGACAGACTTTGACAGGGTTATATTGGCAATGTAAAACAATATCACAGAGACAAGTTGCTGCTATATTTCATCATCTAAATACCTGCTAATTCGCTATATTTCAGTAGATAAATCACTGTAAAAGAGGTAAATATTTTTCCATCACCAGTCTGAATCTGACGAGAATGCTGTCTGCTTATTAGGTTTTCAATAAATGCTCTAATTAGATGAACTAATGTACAATAAATGGGTTCAAGAACATAGGAATGGGGAGAGCAAGATGTAGAGAGGTATAAAAAGATGTGGTGGTTGTAGCAGTGGTAATTGCAAAAACCTTAGTTTTTATTTCTAAGTCACCCAAGAAAGGGAGAACACAAATATATAGATACAATTAAAGAAATCAGAGTCGGATGTAAATAACTGACAACAAAAAGGCAGTATTACAAGTGGAGTAAATGAACGTGATTTACTTATTTAAATAAGTAATGTTTATATAGGAAAGCAAAATGCAGTAAAAAGGATAGATTAGGTTGGTAAATTTCAAAATGTGTGGGGCTAAAGTTTAAGTACTTAAATTTATATTCTCTACAAAAAAAATCTTAAAACAGTTAAGGCTGAAAAAGCATTAGTAGTTAACCATAGTAAACATTAACATCCAAATACCTTTAAACCATTTCTAATCTCACACACAAAAATTTACCCTTAGAAAAATGGAGTTGAGGGATCCAGCCAATTCCTTACTGCCATGCAACAGTTTATTACTATCATTCCATCCAAATTCTAATGCCCATTCAACATCGGTTTTTCTCCCGTCCTTCTCTCCTCTTATTTTACTGCTTTAGAATCAGTGACTAAATGTATTAGTAACCAGTACATTTTTTCCTGAAATATATTTTAACTCAATAGTGACTCTAATATTATATACAACCTACTGGAAAAATAATTAAAAATAGCAATTACAAGTCATATTCCTAAGGCATTTAAGAAAACAGAAATGAGTGGTTTTATAGTATATACACAATATGGAGAATATGACAATTTAAATTAATTGCTTTATTAATCATAGCTTACATTCACTGTGTATTTCTAAGATTTACATCCAAAGAAGTATATTTTATTTACATGCAGTTAACATTCTAACATAAATGAAATGCAAGCAAGATCTGTTTAGAAATTAGGATCTGCTCCAAATAAAAATACATAACACTCTTTTTTATCACCCTTTTCAACA